TTATTTATATTTGATTTGATATTATATTGTAACATTAATGATGAACACATCAATTTAATGAACATGATTTAATCTAAAAATATGAGTGAATTTTTAAAATTTTGTAAAAATAATATAATCCATCACTTTTAAAGGTAATTTCTTATTAAAATATTTTTTTCTGAACTTACTTTTATGAAGTATAAAGGCTACTATATACTATTACATACGGAAAAGCATATTGTACAAAGCAGCGGTGGATGAAGAATCGTCTTTTATATTCAAACAACGTTCGCACGAGAGAAGAAGACGTGGAATACCGATGGTGTTCGCGTCGACAAAGACCTCTTCAAGGTCGGTGCGATACTCAATACTTTTTTATGCACTTCTTCCTTTTATTTTATAATCAATAAACTCAAAAATCTTACAATTGGACAGCAGTCCAATTTAGCAGTCAAAGAAAAAAATCGATTGCTTTTTGTTAAGAATGATATATTTATAGAATTTATTTTATGATTATTGTTGAATAAGCGCAATGTGAAAATTATTATAAAATTTTTGATTTAAGATCTGAATAAGCAAGTAATAACAAAATGTGTTTAAAGTTTTATTGGGCCTTCATTCTCTATTGTGAAAATTACACGCACATCAAAAGAGACAAAACCACGCCTACGCTAACAATAAGTTAATCTTTTAAATTTGTTATCTCTTTGTCCACCAGACTTATACTATTGCGTTAGATATCGATCGTATAACCAACGAGTGGATATCTTATCTATACTATTCCAAGCTTATATGGAAAAATAAGATCTAGTTCGTAAGAATTAGGAATAATTTGAACAATTTAGAGAAATAAAAACATATGTACAGATATATCACGAGAGTATAAACTTTACAAAAGTTAGGATCATGCATAATTTGTGTATTACAAGTTATCCATATTTCACAGTTGAGAAACAAAGTAAATTTTTGCTACGGTAAACTAGGTCGTTATCTTTGATAACAAGATAAAGTGACAAGATAAAATACCACATGTACTCTGTAAACTCGACTTACACAATTTAGACGCATTTCACACACGCATCGGATACTATGAACTTTAAACATATTAAGTTGTGTGACTTTTAATGAAACTGTGAAATAAAATTAGTAACTATGCGACGAAACAATAGTCTTCAATATTATTGATAATAATAATAATATTGCAAAGAACACAATATACATAACAACAATTTGAACAAATTAAAAATTGATGCGATTAATATCATGAACATGATTTTAATTCTGATATTCGGAAGAGACATTATGTTACACTGAGATAGAGTTGCTCGAGTTTTCATTAGCATAAAACACTTGGCCTTTGCAGTATCCTGCTATCTACTAATCGTACAAGTCGACGGTTGACCTAGATGTTATAGCTTTACCTATTTTCGTAAGCATCAAGTAAATTTTTATTTTATTTTAAATAAAAGAAATATCGAAAAAATAAATTAAACATTACTAAGATTGTGAGCTTATTAACTTTGATCAGTATCTTTGTAATATCTCAGATTAGATACCATTTAAGAGATTAAACATCATTGCAATCTCTGTTGCAGAAGACACTGGTCACGATACATCTGCAAGTAACACGAAATCTCAGCGACTAAAAATTCAGGTCATGGAAACGAGTATTGTGCTTTACATACGACAAACTTTACATGATGTATAATAAGTCAAGAGAATTAGTTATATGGAAGAGGAGATGTAGAAAATTTCTTCTTTCCCTGAAAAAATTTTTACGAAAAACTACTAGATTGAGACAAGATCTTAGAAATTCTTAGTTCTTCATAGATAAGAACTGTCCAAGAAAAAATCTTCCCACACAAAAACTCACATATCCTCCAAACCACTTAAAAAAAAAACAATTTTT